GGGGGGGGGGCATTGTCCTTGGTTTGTCGCTGGTCGGTTGGGGGAGGGAGTACATTCTGATACGGAGCAGTGATCAAGCTACCTCAAGCTGCAAGCCGTGTCGCTCACTCCCACCCGCCTTTTTGCCACATAACTAGCACCCGAGTCTCAGCACAGGCAGGGAGGACCGCCATCGACAGCCATCGGGAAAGCGAACTGCGCATACGCTGTCAAAACGGATGGCGGGCCTGCACGCAGCAGGCAGTATGCCCCCGTGCCTGGCAAAAAACAACACTGCGAAGTGATCGCGGGGTGCCTGCGCACGGTACAGGCTTCGGTGGAACGTGCATGTCGTATGGCTTTTGGCAAAAGAGCTTTGCGGGGGTGCGGGCATCGCACGCAGCAGGCAATCTGCTGGCCACCCCGCCGCCCCTGCCAAAAACCAACACAGAGTACTCGCGGGCACCCCGGCATAAGATCTTGCTGCTAAGAAGTGTACGTTTATGGTATGTTGCCTGGGATGGTGGGGGGTGTTGGCATTGCATGCAGCAGGCATTGCAATATGTTGACGCCCCCGCCAGCCAAAAAACAATGCAACGTGATCGCGGGGTGTCCACGCATGATCCAGATTTTTGTGCAAAGTGCACTCTTGATTTTTTTGCTGACGGGGGTGGCGGGGGGCTGTCGGCATGGTCCCAGGTTTGTCGCCAGTTGGAGGGGGAGGGTGTTTGCAATCCATCAACGAGAGAGATGAGCTCCTCCCCGAAGGGGAACAAGGGGGGGTGGAAGAAGAGGAAACGCTTTAAACCACTCACGCCCAGAGGGCTGGTGGGATCTCGTATCCCCCGATGACCCCTGGACGCGCAGACGCGCGTGAGCACCGTCGGCAGCTCAAAAGACGACGTCGAGTGTGCCCCCGGATGTCTTCGGATCGTGCACGCCGGCTGCAGGGCCCAGGGGTCCGGGGTGGCCTCGGCCGGGGAGCGCAGCAGGGTGCAGAAGCCCGTTGCGGAAGGTCGGCTCAGCGGTCGGGGATCGCAGCAGTGTGCAGAAGCCCTCTGCGGCAGGACGGCTCAGCGTGCGGAGGTTCTCGGACCAGGTGCGCATCACGAGCAGCCTCTGGGTGTCGGCGCACCCGTCCGGGGACGGCTTCGACTTCGGCGACCTGCCCGTGGTCGCCGAAGACACCAGGCAGAGCGGCGGGGCCGCCCCTGCGATCCGATCCGATTCGCGGGCTGGACCCTCGTCGTCGTTGTCGTCGTCGTTTTCGTCGTCGTCGTCGTGTTCGTTCCTCGTCATCGTCGTCGTCGTCGTCGTCGTCGTCGTCGTCGTCGTCGTCGTCGTCGTCGTCGTCGTCGTCGTCGTCGACCGCTCGTTGGCGTTGGTAGTCGTCCTTCTCCCGGGCATCGGCCAGGGCCAGCCAGAGCGGGGGGCGGCGATCCGAAGCAGATACGATTCGGGGCCGTGACCGATCCGACCCAGCTCGACGACGACGACGACGACGACGACGACGACGACGACGACGACGACGGGAGAGAGACGAGGAGAGGAGGAGGAAGAGGCGGAGGAAGAGGAAGAGGAGGAGGAGGAGGAGGAGGAGGAGGAGGAGGACGATGCCCTCGGCTTTCGTCGCGGCTCGACCCAGCTCAGACCTGCCAGCCGGCGGAGGCAGCCGAGCCCTGCCCTCGCCGAGCCACGAGCCAGGCAGCTCGCTGGGCGGCGGGGGTCGGGTTCGGGATCCGCCGAGCACCTGGCGAAACCCGAACCCTGCCCCCGCCTCCCACTCGTTTCAGGAGAGTCGATGGACGGTGGGGATAGGGTTGAGTCGGGCATGTCCCTGAACAGGAGGAATACTCTTTTTTACCAGCACGAAGGAGACCAGTGGCACGATGGAAGACGGACGAACGAAGGACGACGACGAAAACGACTAGAGAGCGCGCGAGGGGGGGACGACGACGAATATACTCAAAACTAGGCAACAGAAAATAGTCTGGGGACGATGTCTCGTCTGCTTTGGAGCATTCGGGGGCGTGTTTGGAATATGGTTTTTCTTTGTCGTCCGACATCCGCATGCAGGGGGACATGCCCGACCCAAGGGTTATGATGTTCGAACCTACTTTAGCCTCGATCACCAGAAAGAATTTCGAGCACCAAAAAAGTACCGAAACTCGAGGGTTTTCACGTGTCGGGCCCTGGGGAACACTCGGCCGACACTCTTTCGACACTCTGTCGACACTTTTCCGGGTGCTCGAGATTATTTCTGGGATGTGGTTCTTAAAAGTACGATGAGAACAGCATGACCCCAAGGGGGCAGGGCTCGGAGAGTCGCAGCCCGAGCCAGGGAGCTGCCGCTCAGCGCGTGGCCGCTGCAGCTGAGCATCAGCTTCGCGAGGGGCACGGGCACGCGGGTGCGGGCGCGCGGCGCCGACGGCTCCTTCGGCAGCCTGTCCACCCCTGCCATCGCCAGACGTCCGAGGGTACGTTTTTTCTTTCCCCCAAAACCCTCCCTTGGGCTTAGGTTCTCGTTCTGAATCGAGCGCCGTGGTCTCCATCGCTCACTCCTCCCCCCCTCCTTCCTCCTCCCTCCTCTTCTCCTCCTCCTCGTTCTCTTCCGCCTCCTCCCTGCCTCGCGGATTATTCCCAACCATCCCCAGACGTCCGAGCACCGTTTTTTTTCAACGCGCGGTCAACGCCGGTAATCGCCGATATCGGGGGTCAGAGCGCGGTCATCGGCGGCAACCTTTGTATCGGGGGCGCCCAAGAGGAGGGTCACGACTCGGGGGGGGGATCCCATGGCGGGGTCCATGGGATCCCTCTCTTCAACTCGGGTCATGGGCCATGGGCCACGGGTCGGGGCCGTGGGTCCATGGGCCATGGACCGTGGCTCGGGGGATCCATCTCATGGCGCCTCTTCCTCTCCTCCCTCTTCTTCTTCTTCTTCTTCTTCTTCGTCCTCTTCTTCTTCTTCCTCTTCTGCTGCTTCTTCTTCTTCTTCTTCTTCCTCGTCTTCTTCTTCGTCTTCTTCTTCGTCTTCTTCTTCTTCCAATGCGTCCACCTGGCGCCCCCCTGGGCCGCGCACGTGCCCCAGGCCGTGATCTCGAGCCCCCCCCTCTCCCGGGATGCCCCCCGAGCGGCGCGCGGTCCGCGCCGGGCCGGATCCCGCAGAGGCCGCCGCGCCCCACGGAGCCGCCGCGGCGTGCCCGCCCCCGCTGAAAGAGGCACAGGAGGCGGAGGACGAGGAGGAGCAGGGGAGAGAACGCCCCAAGCTTTCTTTGCAGCAGAGTCCGCTGAACGTGAAGAGGAGGAGGAGGAGGAGGAGGAGGAGGAGGAGGCGGAGGAGGAGGAGGAGGCGGAGGCGGAGGAGGAGAAGGACCAAGGAGGAGGCGGAGGAGGAGGAGGAGGAAGGGGCCTTTGGCGCTCGAGGCGGCTGGTGGAGGGGCGTTGGACCACGTCGCCATTGGGGCACACGTCGGGGCTCTATAGAGCGGGACGCTCCCGACGCGCCGCGGCGGGGTGGCCGAGTGCTCGTCGAGCCCTCGCCCACTCAGCTGTCCCGGCGAAGTGGCACGAAAGAACAGCTACTTGGGCAGAAGGAGACCCAGACATGATGGCGTCGTAACAACAATCAGGACGCAAGGTTTTCCGCTGTTTTCGGCCCCTGGGGGCCCTCGCCGGGCCTCGCCAGGGACGCCGTCCTGAAAAAATCAGGACGTCGCATGTCTGGGGAAGCGGCGTCGTCCCAAAATCAGGACGTCGCACGTCTGGGGAAGCAGCGCCGTCCCAAAATCAGGACGTCGCACGTCTGGGGAAGCAGTGCCGTCCCAAAATCAGGACGTCGCACGTCTGGGGAAGCAGCGCCGTCCCAAGAGACGCCGACCACCGTCTCGCCCGCGGCACGACCACGACGGCGCGGAAGTGTCCCCAGGGGCGGCGGGTCGCCCCAGTGCGGGGGAGGCATCCCGCCGGCGCCCCGTGCCGCGTGCCGGGCCGGGGGGGGGGGGGGGCGATGCTCTCGTTGCGGTGCGCGGTGCCCGGAGACCTCGACCCCTGCCCCGGAGGCTGCTTGCTCGCCGAAGGTCCGCCCTTGACGGCCTCGCCGAGTCGCCGAGGGGGCGATGCTCTCTCTCTGTGCCGTGCGCGCTCCCCAGGGGACCTCGACCCCCGCCCCGGAGGCTGCTTGCTCGCCGCGGGCTGTGTCTCGGACGGCCCCGGGGGGGGGCACGACGGCGGGCGCCAGGGGCCAGAAGCGAGGAGAAAGCGGGGGCTCCCAGTGGTCTAGCGTTGCGAAGCGTCCTGGCGAAGTCGCGAGAGCCTTAGATCAGGCAGTTGCGAAGCGTCCTGGCTCGCCTATAGGCCTACCAAACACTGTTCTGGGAACCTTTCGCGGTTTCCACGACATGTTCTTAGAACACTTCTGGCTGGGACTGCTTTGTTTTAACACATCGGGTTTATGTTCTAAGAACCTTGTTTTTGTTATTCGGACATGTTTGGGCTCTGTTCTGAGAACATTTTGTGGTAGGCCTAGAGCCTATAGGAATGCCTGGACGATCGGTCCCTGCTCAATTAGACCCGATCTTTCTGCGGCGGCTTTTGAGCCGGACCGATCTGCGCCCGAAGCCTTGCGAAAGCGCCCGGCGTGAAAGAAAAAGCATCGCCTGGATCCCAGGGTTGAATCTAGGCCTCCCAGATGGGGTCGGAATGGATGGGGTCGGGGGAGCGCGCCGCGTCGCCGACGCATCGGCGATGCGGCTCGATGCGGAGCCCGATTTTCTCCATGCCGACGTCGCCGATGCGTCCCCGACGTCGCCGCTGCATCGCCGATGCTTCCGCGATGCGCGGCGATCCGACCCCATCTGCTCGGACCCCACCTGGGAGGCCTCTAATCCAAAAGCCGAAGTAAGGTGACAATTAGGCCCCTCTGTGAGAGAAGGGCGAAGTGCGATGTGTGCGCATTGTCACCCAAATCCGGCTCTCGGATTTTCAAACAGATCATACCGTCGGATATCTGGGCCAGCGACAGCATGGCGGGCGGCATCTCCCTGTTCAGCGCGTACGGCCCCTCGGGCTCCACCAGCGGCTTCTACTTCGATGAGCTGCTGCTCACCGGGACGGAGCATCGCCCCGAGCGCGCGTTTGGGCCCGTGCTCGGTGTGCTGTACACCGTGGCGACCACCGGGGACGTCGGGGGCACCGCGGGGGGGGGGGGGCGGCTCGGGGGGGGGGGGAGGGGGTGCATCGACCTCCAATTGCCGCCGATCGGTGCCCGATAGCCCGGCCCCGCCCAGGGCCGTGCGGACTTGGCTCCGGGGGACGGTCGCCGATCTCTCTGCGATGTGTCGCCGAGGCAAGCTCGGTGCTCCACCCCCGGAGCCAGTTCTCCCCCGATCCCGCGTTGCCCCCCTGAGGACGGTGAGCTTGGCCTGACCGGCGAGGACGCGACGACGCTGAGGCCGGGGCCCAGACCTCGGGCGGCCCGATTCTTCTCGACGCCTCGGCTCCGGCCTCTGCGGGGCCTGTGCTCGAGACCCCGGGCCGTACGGCCAACAACGGATCTCCGGGTCGGGAGACTGGCCCGCGGGGGCGGGAGGGGCCTCTGGGGCCGCGGTGTCTGATTTTTCAATCCCTCGGCCTCGGCCTCTGCAGGGCCTGTGCTCGGGACCCGGGGCCATCCAACAGTGGATCTCCGGGTCGGGAAGCTGGCCCCCAGGGGAACGGGAGGGGCTCGGGGCCTCTGGGGCCGCGCATGTCAGAAGGATCACGTCAGCAGAGGTCTGGGGCGACGCTGAGGCTGACGGCGCAACATCCAGTGCTGGGCGCCCCGCACAGGCTGGACCTGCAGATGTCGGTCGACAGCGTCGACGGCGGCAGCCCGCTGAACGGCACGTTTTGGTCGGAAGATGGCAGTTGGAACACGCGCTTCGTTGTGCCGTATTCGGGCAAGTCGCGCGAGGACTCTGCCTACCGACTATTGCTCGACGGCAACGTCGTTTACAGTGGTGTGATCCGGCGTGAGAAGTCGTCGCAGGAGGCTGCAGTCATGGGATCCTTGTCGTGCGCGAAGAACGCATATGGCACTATCGGATGGGACTCCGAGGGCATGATGTTTCCGTTCAGTGGCGTGACGTCCTCCCTCCAGACGCATGATCCAGATGTTTTGTTTTTTGCTGGGGATCAGGTGTACGACGGGGACATCACCCCCGCGGACTTGCGTAGCCAGTACCACACTTGGCTCGACTATCACACGAAGTGGCAGCGATTCTTGTGGAGCTTTGGCAATCTGACCAAGGACCGCCCAACAATCTCCATCCCGGATGACCACGACATGTTTCAGGGAAATTTGTTCGGCAACGGAGGCCAGACGAACGTGGGGCGCCTGTCGAAAGGCATGGGCCACTACCGCATCGGCACCGTGGGCACGTCAAAAAAGGCCAGGGCGAAGAACGAGAAGGGAGAGGGCTACTGCATGCCCGCCCACTTCGTCAACGCCGTCTCGGCCACACAGGTCTCCCACCTGCCGCCCAGCCGCGTCAGCGCGCGCATCGGCAACGAGGGGGCGAACACCTTTGTCACGTCCTTCAGGTCCTCGGTGGCCCGCGGAATGGGGGAGGGGGGTGGACGAGGGGGCGGCGGGGGGGGGGGCGACCTCCCGAGAACCGAAGACGAAAGACCGGCAGGAGCGTGCCCTTTTCCCGGGTCCGCGCGGATTTCTTGGATCTGCGCTGGACCCCCCTGGCGACGCCTCCGCCGGACGCGCCTGGCCAAGGGAGCGGGGCCCAGCGCCGACCGGAGAAATCGCGAGGACCTCCTCCTCCTCCTCCTCCTCCTCCTCAGATCCCCACTCCTCCTCCTCCTCCTCCTCCTCCTCCTCCTCCTCCTCCTCCTCCTCCAACTCCTCTCCCCATCCTCCCACACATACACCCACAGCGAACCCAGGGTACCGAGCGGCCGACGCCTTGAAGAGTCACGTGACTCTTATAAACCGCCAAAGCTCAAGGATCCTGGAGAGAGGAGGGGAGAGAGAGAGAGAGAGAGAGAGACAGAGAGAGAGAGAGAGAGAAAAAAAAAGTGCCCAACCCAGCTCCTGCTCGTGCCACATGGCCCTTGCCACGTACTTGAGAGGGGAAGGGAGGGGATGCCCACGCCAACGTCCCACTCACCTCCCAATACTGGTGAGCCCCCTTTAAGGAATCTCTCTGGGCACCCCCTTACCTCGCAAGGGCTCAGGTCGGGATCTTCGTTCCGACCGCCAGCCCTGTGTATTGTGATACGTACTGCAGCGGGCTGCGCGGGAAGGGAGTGGTCCTCCACACCGCCGCCAACGCATCCCCCGCTCCTCCTCGACCTCCAAGTCATGAGCTCTGCCCTGGGGGCAAGGCAGGACTTCAGCTGGACCAGGCCAAAACGCCGTGGGCCTAAGTTATGGATATCTTCCCCCCACCGTGACCATACCTGCCCTCCCTCTTCAAGAAGCTACTGCGCAGCTGGTGTGGGGAGGCAGGAGGACATGTGGCGAGAGAGGGACGGAAGAAGGAGGATAATAGGATATGGAGGGAAAAGAGTAGCAGGCGACCATACAAGAGAGACTGGTGCCGAATCGAAAAGTGAGATCTGTTACATGCTCTCAGCTTGCTTGACTGGGCTGAGCCCCAGCGCAGTTACGACAGAGTCTGCAACGATATCGCAATCCAGGCTCACACTCTGTCGAGATCGCCTGCAGTCCTGCGCTGGAGACCCCAGCGCCGTTACGACAAATTGCAGCAGAGGTCCAGGCAACAAATGGACCGAGTGCTTCAAACCTCTGCTCGAAAAAGCCTCCTCCTCATCCCCAAAATCCCCTCCAATATCCTGAACAACCCCTTTCCAATCCTCGAAACGCGATGCGGCGCACAAGACCGCACGGAACGTGCAACAGTCGTGCCTGGAGGAGGGGGCAGATGGGGGAGGAATGAGGAGATGATGAAGGGAGGAAGGAGGAATAGCAGAGAAGTGTCTTCGTTTGGGGCTTTGGGCGGCCGTTGGCGCCTGCCCTGAAGCTCTGCCACGATGCTCTCGCCACTGCCCTCAACCTCAACGTGCAAACTACAGCTGCTAGATGGTGAGGGGACGAGCGCGACAGTGGGAGAAACATAGAAGGGGAAGGATGGAGAGGCATGGCTGCAACACTCGCTCAATCACCATGCGATCTGAAGCGCGCCTGTCGCGCAGATCTCCTTTCCAGCTGCCTATGGCGTCTCTCTGCGTCCAGTCTATCTCCGAGGGACGTAACCTCCGATTCTGACCACGTTCGTTCACTGCCAACTTCGCCATCCAACCCTGCAGGTGGACACTGCGTGAAATCTTGCCACTTTTGTTTAGCCTCGGACCCCGAAGCGCTCGACGCCGACTCTCTGGCCGAGGTCGGCAGCTCGCTTGTCCAAGTCTTTGCATGCTTTGGACATGTCCTCCAGTTGAGTCTCGAAGTAGTCGAAGCTGAGCTCGTGTACCTCCGAAGCCGCGATGTGGGATACTGTGTCCTCGAAAGTGTCCGCGCTGGACTCCATCTTCTGCAGCTGGCAGTTCAGGTGCTGGAGATTGTTTTGATGTTCCTCGTGGGAGGCTGTGAAGCTATCCAGCTTGGCCCCCGGCTTGGCGATTTTGCTTTCCACGCACTGCAATATTTTGGAAATGTCCCCAGCGTTGGGCGCCATGGCCCACAGGCTTACATGCTCTGGATACCGATCCGAACTGTCTGAGAAACTTTTAGCCACTAGATGGTTATGATCCGTAGCCACATCATTCCCACCAACGGGTCTCTCACCCTCGCTGTTGCTGGAGGGGTCTTCAAGCGCGGCCTCTTCGCCAACGCGCGGGTGGCCACGTGCCGCGAGCCACTCACGAGCCTCCGCCAGAACGGCTTCAGCTCGCCCTGGGTGCCGCAGAAATCCCGCAGCGGCGTCCCGTGAGCGCAGGCTGCGCTCCAGACGGGCGGGAGGGCGCGTGCCCTTCGCGCGCGCCGCCGCCAGGCCGGATGCGAGAGTGGCGCCGCCGATCAGCGCGACGAGCTCCGCCGACGCGCCCACCGGGAGCTGGGCCGCACTGCCCAGGCCGGGCCGCTCATCCGCCGGCGCCCTCTTCGTCCGCCGCCCTGAGGAGGTCCCCTGGTTCCCCGCTGGCGCTCAGCAGGAGCTCCACGAGGGAAGCAGCCTCCGCCACCTTCGCCACAGCAGCAGCAGCCATGCCATGCCGAACCGTCACTCCTCCGCCCCGCCGCCTGCGCCCCATGGCGCCGCGGAGAGCAGAGATGCCGCCGCGCCGCGGCGGTCCGTGAGCTGTGTCTGTCCGTCGCGGAAGCGGAGCAGAACAGCCTTGAGCCAGAAGGGCTACGGACCCCCTCCTCCCTCCTCCTCCTCCTCCTCCTCCTCCTCATCCTCCTCCTCCTGTCCTCCTCCTCCTTCTCCTCCTCCTCCTTCTCCTCCTCCTCCTCCTCTTTCTCCTCCTCCTCCTCCTCCTCTGGCTCTCGCACGGCGGACAAGTCCAGGCGAGGCAGTCGCCAGGACAGAAGAGGGCCTGTGTGCATGCCACTATCTCCTGTTCCTACGGAAGGCACGGGGCTTATCAGGCGGGGCCCAGGGCCTTTCCAGAGCGTTTCTCAGAGGGCACGTGGAAGTCTTCCTCCTCCTCCTCTTTCTCCTCTTTGTCCTCGTTCGAGATCGTCCTCCATCCCTTTGCTCTAATGTAACTCTTCCCTATGTCGCACCCCGAGGCCGCTCGAAAGGGCCGGCCGGGCGTTTCGCTTGAGACTTCCTCACCAAATCTGACCCTGAAGCTTTGCGATTGGTAACAGCTTCACGGATGGAGGGCGGGTGGTTTTCAAAATGTGGTTCTCGCCTTAGCGCCACGCACATTCGTTGAAAAGTGATGCAAGAGTTTCACGGACTGAGAGCGGACCGTTTTCAAAATGTGTCTCTCGCCTTCGCGTTTCGCGCATTCGTTGAACAAATGCAACAGTTTCACTGGTTAAGGATGGGTGGTTTTCAACATGTGGGTCTCGCTTTAGCGCCGCGCGCACTCGTTTTAAAACATTGTAAGAGCTTCACGGATTGAGGGCGGGTCGTTTTGAACATGTGGCTATTGCTTTGGCGCCGCGCACAATCGTTTTAAGAAGTTGTAAGAGCTTCACGGATTGAGGGTGGCTCCTTTTCAAATGTGGTTCTCGCCTTGGCACCGCGCGCGCATTCGACTCAAACATTTGCATGACTTTCACGGATTCCCATGGCCAGCGTACCATATATTTTCTTGAAGGACTCAAGATTGTGAGGGCGCAACAGTTGTGTTGATTCGCGGTGCTGAATTCTCAGGGATGGTGTTCTGGCATGGTTCAGGACCGCCAAGACGCAATAGGCAGGTTGATTCGTGGCGTTGGAATCCCGACTTGAAACGGTCGTCTCCCAACGAGGCAGGTCTCTCAGTGGACATGAGCCTGTAGGGGCCTTTTAGGAGGGAGCTCGGAGGGAGGGTTTATTCCAGCATCGTTGGTGACTCTTGGGTTTGCACTGGTCCTCCTCCTCCTCCTCCTCCTCCTCCTCCTCCTCCTCCTCATCATCATCATCATCATCATCATCATGCCTCTTCTATTCTCTGTGAGCAAGCTCCTGCTGTCTCCGCAGCTTCTCTGCCCAAGTGCCCCCCGTCGGCCGCGCGTGCGGGCGCCTTATGCAGGCGGTCGCACAAGCGGCTCTCCAGGGCGCTGGGGAGATTTTGTTCAGGGGGCTGCGGGCCGCGCTCTACGAGCGGCTCGTGGCTGCCCCCCTCTCTGTGCTTCAGGACCAGGGGCCTCCATCGCCTGCCTGGTCCATCCAGCAGGCGGACTCGTCCGAGGGTGAGGGGGCCTCCTGCCCTCTCCCTTCGGCGGGTTCCACCTGCCCCACCGTCTGCCTCGGGCTGGCGGTGGACCTGAGCGGCGGGGTCTCTCCCTGGCTGCTCAGCACGGTCGCCGCCCTCCTCTGGGTGACGGCCGCCTGCAGCGCCTGCGCGGGCTGCTGCCTCGGGCTGCTGGGCCCGTACGTGTGGCGGAGGCTCTGGCCCTCCGCCTGGCCGCGCGGCGCGGTTTCTGCTTCACCTGAGCAGGACCGCCGTGCGGCGCGAGCGCTGGCCTACGGGGCTCCGCCTCGACCTCAAGCGCTCGAGCGGGCAGACGCCCAGCGTGCGGGCGGCGGCGTCCACGGCGGCGCCCACTGATGGCGGAGCTGCCACCAGTTGGCGGAGGGCCCCTTTGGCCCGAGCTCTACCCTTTCGCTGCGCCCACGGCGCGCGACTACGCACGATGGCGCCTAGACGACGGCGACACCAGCTGGGCGGCTATCCCCCTCGCCTCTCGAGAAGGGGGCATCCTGCTGGCCCTGCCTGGTGCCTTTCGCTCTACAGCGGAGCTCGAGGCTGCCGAGGCGGATGGCTTTGCTGGGATGATAGGCCCCTTCCAGCTAGTGGACGTCCAGCTCCAGGGGGCCGCTTCACGGCCGCTCGCCACTACCGCATCCGTCCTCGTTATAGATATCGAGGTTGCCGAGCTCGAGCTCGAGTCGCTGTACCCTCTAGAGGTC